ATGTTAATAATAATAAGAGGAATACTCATTAATAAGGATATCTGAAATGAACAAACTGTCGAGTAACAATATTGTTTGGGCTTCTTCCCTTCGTCAGGTTCCTGACTCTGCACAAACATAGCGTCATACTTGTACCTCTCCGTTTTCAATATGTATATGTGTCTATGTTGCCATTTAATTTATTTTAATTTCTTACTTTTTATAAAAGTTGAAGTGTATTGTGTATAAATATTCATTGAAAGCAAAATTCTGTATTTTCTACTCAATTTCATATGCATTTACATCCTTGTAAGTAAATACACCGGAACAATTTTCTGCAAAAATATGAAAACTTTTCAGACTAAAGTTTAATGTGAGCATAAAAACTGAACAATGACGTTGCTGCTATGTGGAGATTCGATTTCATAGAACTTAAGTCAAAGTTTTCATAAGGATAGCGCCTTTTGTCCTTAAAATAGTGTTAAGTATGAAATTTTACTTTACTGTAATTTTTGTTGTAGCAATATTAAACCATGTAATTACGTGCAATATGTGAACAAAAATGCAGAGCATATAGTAAGATTTTATCATTTCGAGAGGGATTTTGATATCAACAAAATAGAATTCCTAGTTGCAAATGGTAAGCACCTAAGCATCATTTTACATTAAACTCTTAATTTTGGAGAACTTCATGTACGTAGAAAGCTCTTACCTGCATAAACGTATGGTTCAGTTTACCATATTTATTCAAAGTTACATTGACGCTACTCGTAGTTTGCAGATGCTTCATTTAATTGGATAGACTTTGTAACGTTAAGTTCAACCATTTATTTACTTTAAATGATTTATGTATCATATTTCTTATTTGTTGTACAGCACTTGTAACAATTTCTTCCAAAATGTATTTGAAAGTTGTAGTACAAACATGAGCGTTCAAGATAATAAAGAAAAAAAATAGTTCTTTTTATAAGCACTATGATAACTCTTATAAGTAAAGCAATTTTCACCGTCGTCAAACTATTAAGATAATTAAATAGATATAAAGATAATTAACTGCTTAAGTAAGCTGTGATATAATATTCTTTATATTACTGATAATTCACATCTTCTTCTTTGCTTGATCAAACGCAAGTTAGTGTCTCAACTTTACTCAATAGTGTCTTTGACAATGTAGTAAGAGTTCCGTGGAATTCTGATAATAACTTATTCAGATAATTTTATAGAAGTATACTTCAAAGCTCAGCATATCTTCTTGATGGAATATGTGTTTCATTTTATTTGAGAGAATGCAATTCTCTCTCTGGATTCTCTGCGCATCCAGAGAATCGAACAATTTCAGCGCTCTGTGTTTGCTGAGCGAAAGAAGATGTTACGATTGTATAAGATGTATATATATAACAATACAATAAACTTCATGTACCACTTAACAGTGGTTACCATTCTACTCCAGGATTTTGATGATGAAATTGTTTTGTGAACATTTACTTCACCATTCATCGACTTCAACATTGCCTTTATTTTGATTGTTATCTTTTAGGATTAATATGAAACTATTTGTGAAACTATTTTCATTGATATTTAGTTACAACGCTTAAAACGATAACAGAATGGCATCCTCTTTTAATTTTTCTAATAACACATACATTTAGAAACAAGTTTAAAATAGTTCATTCACTTTTTGAAATTTGACTGGAGTTCATTATATAGGTATATATGAACTTGAACTCTATATGTTAAGACTACCATAACTACTTTTTATTTATACTAAATTTTACTATATACATATATTCGACATATATTCGTATAGTATTCTAGATAGAATCAATGTCAAAATGAAGGTGGGTACATTTTGAAAGTTTTACTTTTAAAAACTTTGTTGACAACCAACATAGGTATAACTTTACTTATAAGCATTATTAATATTAAAGAGTTGACTCAACTGTTCCCAATACATATTTTCGAAAATTTATTTTCTTGTGCGATAATATATTATCTTTTTTTCTAAATGCAATTTTCCAAAACAAAAGTTGAAGTTATAGCTAACAGATAACAGAATAAGCGATTCTTCCAATTCGTGTATGTATAACATAATGTGTATGCTCAAATTAATGTCATCACTCAAGTCTGCGGTCTGACACATATATGGCAGTTCTATTAACAAACCCATTTGGAGAGTAGTAATTTTTAGACGATACATATTAAAAGTCTACGATATTCTGGGATTAACTTTACAGGTTGCAGTGATTAGTGACTTGTTTTGAAAATTAGTTTTATAATTTTCAAACCAATAGACAAAAAGTATTTAGATTAAGCAATTTGTTTTGATGGATGTTTTGAAAAAATATTGTAGACATTTATGAGGACTTTGTTCTTGGAAACTCAACTAGTCGTCTAGTCGCTGTTCCGGAAAATAAGTTTACAAAATAATTTTAAGCGACCATTAATTAAAGTTAATAGATATTGAGTGGTTCAGGTGTTTAATCACATCAAACGAAAACTATCAAGTCACAAGCAGATGAAAACAATAGTTACGTTTTATGTATTTCATTTTGAATTACATTTAAGTCACAAGTTCATGAAAATGATGATTAAATAGTATGAATAACGTTTTAATTTGCTTTCTAAATCACCAAACTGTCTAGATATGGCTCCAGTGAGTAGTGCCTTTTTGCAGGAATAAAAACGATATTTCAGGGAATGAAATTTGGTTCAAAAGAAGAATTGACTGCCGAAACTGAGACCTAACATGTATGAAAGCAATAAAAAGTTCTACATAAAAAACCTTCGAAGAGTTAGAGGAACATTGGAATGAATTTATCATTTACTTATCGTGAAAGAGAATAACATATATTGACAAATTTAAAAAAAAATTGTTTTCCTTAGCTAGCACGCAGACTGTGATTGATATGTTATAATTATGCTTACATAGGATATGTCCTTTGAAGCAATATAGCAATATATATATATGTAATATAATATATGTAACAATGTTCATTAATTTTCTAATATACTCGTATTATACTCAAATAAATTTAATTAGTATATTACAGTACACTAAGTGATTTGATATTGAAATACATATCTAGGAATAGTTTGTATAAAAATGATACTATAGTTAAAGGTCATAATTCATAAATTGCAAATATTGTAATTTATAATCAAAACTATTTGAAGTATTTAATAAAATGCTATATAATAGCATATGTGTGGCATATATATTTATTAAATTACTAAAAACATAGAAAAAACTTAGAATCCCGTAACTTCAATATTATGTGCGATTTTCTTCTAATCTATTTAACATAATCATGGTTCTATTGTATGATGATGTACTCTTAAATTTTTTTAACGCTTTTTCTGTTTTGCGTTAATTGATTTCATAACTTTACCAAAGAACATGTTAGAGTATAAATATCCAATTTTAGACATTAAGTTTCTTTGTGACAAAATAATGTTTTGACTATTGGATAATAAGACAGAATGGACTATCCAAGAATATAACTTATATAGATTGAACCCAATTATTTTGCTGTTATTTTCATTCAATGTATTTGTTAGAATTTTTTAGAGTACTGTTTAGTTGTTCTTACGAGTAATATATATTATTTTTATATATACAGACTTGAGTTTACTTCACTAATACATTAGAAATAACTCAATTTGCAAAACAGGCGAAATGAACTGTACTTGAACACCGGAAATCTCAAACAGGCATGCGGTAGTCAAGAAGATCCATTGATCCTGAACGTATCAAAGTTGACGCTATCTTTAACCTTAGTAGAAACGATATTAAACTACTTTCAGGACGCTATTGACTCAATTACCACATGAAGAATATAGGTGCGGTAGAAAGTGATTCCTGTCGACTCTGATATGAAGAGAAGCAAATATTAGAACATGTTCTATTCAACTATTCAGCGGCGGCAAGACGTAGACGTGAATACCTTGGAAGCGAGATCTTGATCCCAATTCAAATAGAGAAAACTAAACCCATAGCAATTACGAGATATATACACAGTCTAGAATTGTTTGAGTTGAGCATATTATATAGGTGCATAATAGGTATTTTAACCTACTGAATAATAATAATACTTCACTTTGTAGATTTGCCTCACAGCCGGAAAATGTGTAAGAAGTGTTATTAGTAAATAATGAAAGTGATATAAGCTTCTTTTTTTTGTACAAGTGGAAATTTTATGGGAATATGTAACCTTGATTAACCTTATTTTCGGATTCTCATGTTGATGACAAACGATGCCATATTTTAATGAAACCGACATGAATCCCGTCTTTGATATATCACCAAGGAAAATCTTGTAAAGATTTGTAGTGACTAATAGTCTTGAAAGACGTTTTTTTCTATTACTTTTCTGTTTTAATGGGAATATTTTTAATCAATTTTTTAAACATGTTAGGGCTCGTATGCCTCTCTCATATTTTTTAAATTATTTTTATCACGGTTATACACATTGAAATTTTTTATAATTTCATGTACTACAATTATAAATTACAATGTTAGAGAATATAATCTGATTGTTAACTTGGTTTAAATATATTAAAAAATTATCCTTTATTACACAAGTGCATAATTCATTATGAGGATATAAAACGAATATAAGGAGGATAAAATAAAAGCTGCATATGCAAATGATTTTCCACTTGCATGCTTCAGATATTAATTTATCCTTTGTAATAGTGCACTGCTTCTGACTTAATCTCATTAAAAGGAATTGATTTAGTTAAGTACTTGGAAATTTAATTAAGGATAAAAAAAACCGTTTGCGATTACAAATAATGTTATCATATTATATGGCTATATTCAGGTTTCTGCTCATTACGATGATATTTTAAGTACTCTAAGTTATTTTTTATTAAAATAAAAATGATATTCTTTTATTTAAAGCTTAAATTTTAATATAAAACTAAAAAAAATTCTATTAAACAAGTTTGCCCTGTTTTTAGATTTTTACTTTACACAATTTTGAAATATTAATTATTCAATAAATTCGGATATATTTTTTTTGATATTTAATTTTGGAAAATTTTTTAAAATTACGACAGTGCATATGTCGAGCCTTGCCTACTCCATAAAATATAAATCATAGAGTGAAATGGTAAAAACTAATACATTCGTTATGTGAAATGTGCTGAGTTTTCAAAATCTTTTAGGTTTATGACATGTTGATAATAACATGTAAAACTCAAAATTCGCAAACATCGGGCAAGACTGATAAGTATAAGGAAGAAATCCTTGAATTTGAACATGTTCCAAAATATATGAAATGTGAACCTGCAGATGATGGAAAAATAAAAATGGAACCCTCAAATCATGTTAGATATATGGACCTTTATTTTGCTCGCGATTCCTTTATGAATCATCCATTAGACCGTAATTATGGAACTAACCTTTCACTTATTTTTTTAACACATGGTGGAATACGTGAAAATAAAAAGAAAATTCAAAATCCACGATGTGGTAAACGTAAATTGAGGAAGGCAAGCGATGAATCTAAATTTATATCCGGTAATTATTTAATACACCTGAAGTGTTTCATTGCTAATATTTACACAATCACCCACTTCAGGTCCGAATGTATTTACAGTTCCATCAATGTTGGGTGAAAATGTCATTGGAAATGCAGATGTTCCACATACCCATTCAATAAAGGGTCGTTATAGTCCATTTTTCTACAACACATTCAATACTCCTTTTTCAAATCCCTATACTTCAAAAGTTAATGTTGATAAAAAAAGGGTGCATAAGTGTTGTAGTCATTCCCGTCAAACTGAGCAATTGAAAGATATTCCAGGGCCAGGCACTAATTACCAACAAAAAGTAAGATCAGAATATGTGAGTAAAATTTCAGTTAATTTTTTTTTTTTTTGCAGTATAATGCTCATAAAATAGCTAAAAAAATATCTTATTCTGTAATGAATAAGCAATACTCCATTTGAGCGATTTTTATTCCTTATTCGTTCTTGCATGTATTGACCTGAGGAACATAGGAAATCTATTTAATCAATATATCTATATCTATATATCTAAATCTATTTAAAAAATATATATAACTGTAACAATATATTATATATATACATACATATGATGCTTATCTTACATATGTATATATATAAATACTGCACAAATATATATATATATATAATAATTAATAAAAATGCTTAAATTTTCATATAAATCTAAATATTTCTTTTTACGCTGCAAAGTTTTGAAATAAAAAATTATTATGTATGGAGCATAGTGTATAAAGACGATTCTTTAGGATGACTTTTAACTCAATAGGTAGCTAGATCTTAGAATAGGTAGCTAATTCTTATAACTGACAGATGATTGTTCTTAAAAAAGAACTGGACATACATTAGTTTTTTGAAATTAAAGAAAGCCCCATAATTCTCTACATCTTCTCTAAATATAAGAACACATATAATTGTTGTTTATTTTTGGTTAAAACCATTGGTCCAATTGATTTAAGGCGATTGATACAATTTTGAATAGATGTGGATGTATAATATGAATCAATTGCAATTTATTGGAAGTGTCTTAATACAAATACAAATAAAATGTTATTTTATAAATAAACATTTCTTGTAAAATAATTTTTTTATAGGTATATATTTTAACTCATAAATGATCGGAAATTTTCTATGTGTTTGTATACAGTATGTCTTTTGAATAGGTTTAACATTCAGACGTTATTCTGATATGGTGCTCCTAAGTAATTTTGCTGAATATAGAATAGGTTTACTGACATAATGCAAATAAACAATATATATATTTTAATGATTTTTGTTCTATATGTTCAATTTTAATATTTCAGTTTATTTGATGTCTACATTATTAAAAATCACTTTTGGAATAAATTGTACAAATTTATATAATCTAATGATCATTTATGATGATTTTGATAACTATGGGGCCTTGTTTCCATATACCTTAAGTGTATAGGTGAGTGCGTGTAAGAATATATGACTGGCTGCAAGTTATTGTTAAAAAAATAATTGTTAGTTTTCTGTTAAGGTTTTTGAATTGTTTTTAGTTTCTGAAGTGATGAGACGGAGATCTTAAGGTTTACTATAATAGTTTGTCAACTGTGTTTCGCTTGTAAGCTCGTTTACGTGAACTTAAGAGGGGTTAAGAGGGCTTGACAATGACAAAGCTACAGTTTGGTGGTAAAACTGGAGGTTTGAACACAATATAAATATATATGTAGATTTGCACTTCATTTAGAATAGATTTGTAAATCACTAATCGTTTATTTCTATAAAAGAATTTGGCATATATTGCTTTATTTTTTTATTACATCAATTACTGTACAATTTATATTTTGTTCTTTAATATTTCCAGAATTAGCCACAGGTAATGAACCAATATAAGTCTGATTATGTGAGCAATTAACATTTAAGGCAACTCAATAGCAAAAATTGAAAATAAACACAATAATGAAAAATGCTATAGGGAATATTTAATCAATAATAATAATTTATTCTAATTATTCGTATTAATATATGTTTTATAACTATACATATTTTAAAATAACCATCATTTATGATAATGCTTAAGGGCGACTTAATTAGTTTTGCATGTTATCTTTACACTTTTGTTTAAATAATAAATATAAAGTATTCCTTTATTTGTTGTTGTAAAAGTTATAAGATTAACAACCAAACACTTTTACAATAACATTAGACGATGAAAGTATAAATATTTGCATGATTATATGTCGCCAAAAAAGCTTTCATTTGAATTCAGAAACATATGAATATGTTCTTCTATTTAATAGTTAGAAGGGTTCGAATAGAAATAAAAAGACAACTACAAAAACTTTAGTTAATGCCGAGTCCTCATCAACAATTGTCTTAGAAAATTCGGGTTTTTTTTCATAATAGTTTATAGTCCGTACATAAATTGTATGGACTGCAAGTGCCAGGCTTAGAACTCATGCCTGTCAAATCAGAAACGATGACTAATCGTGTTTTTTCACAATCGTGTTTCCAAATTTTTTTGTCACTTTTTAAATTTTAAGTGACACTACAGCTTTATTTGGAAATACAAGTTTAACGAATTAAATGTTAATTCTTAAAGTTGCCTATTGTAATTTCAAAACTATTCTTTAAATAATATAGAATATTCTTGATTTTTATAAAATAGATCTTATTCATAAAAAAATTTTTTACATTATTTCAAAATGTGCATTTATAGTATTATATTGTAATTTTTTTTATATAATTTATTGCTTATACTTCTTATATAGTTTATATAATTTAATATAATTTAATATATAATTGCTTATATAATTTAAAATATTTGTGTTTACTAAAAGCTGAATAATTTTGATTTAAAATTTCATTTAATTTTTATAAAGAGCTTTTTTCGAACAGTCGCGAACTACAACAACAAAAAATTTATTTTTTATATTATTTTAATTAATTGAATTTTTGGCTGACCATACAGCTGTTTCGAGTATTGCCAAATATCCATCTCCAGTGGTCTTGGAAATAATTCTTGTATTTAAGTATTCGTAAATGATTAATTTTTTTGAGACTGCAAGTACCAGGATTCGAACTCGGGTTCGAAGATAAGATAAATTTTTATCTTAATTTTTTAACGGGAACATTAGAGTGTTCTAAGGCACTTAAGAAAACTTCCACTCGTATTAACACATGGACTCCATTCGGAAGGTGTGTAAGGAAGAGTTTAAGTTTGGTTTCATATTGTTGTTATTTTTCCGTTTTGTTATTGTTTTACTGTCCACCTAGACTAGTGATAAAAAATAATAAAATAAAGTAAAAACAAAAGACTGCGGTTGTATGCTTTTTGGAGTATAATTTTTTTTATTTTTGTTTTCCAGACAGAGTTGAGAAAAACTTTAATTTAACTGGAAAAGTTATGGCATTCAGTCAATATGAGTTGCTGTAATTATTTACAAGTACCTTAAACCAATGCCTTCAAAAACATAGAATGTAATAAAGTTATATGTGTAATTTTATGTATTTTTCTATGATTTTGGTTCTTGCAGAAATAATCAAAGTATTATTATGATTTATGGTTTAATAATTTTTAATTTGATTTATAATAATTTATCTACAAATTGACTGTAGCTGTAGCCGATAATACTGTACTAAGTTTTCATTTGTGATTTTTCAGTTGTGTTAGGTTAATTTGGAGCTACTGAGTTCAAAGCTGCAACCTCTTTTATCCTAGACATAAGGGTCAGTGGCAATAACGAGATAAAGTTTAAAAATTGAACTTTTAAATGGTTAAAAAAATTAGTTTTCTTTTAATAAATATGAAATTCGTATCTTGAGTAAACTTGCTACAAATAAATAGGAAAACATTTTTATCTTAAATATCTTTTCCATAATTCCCCTTCATTTAAATTAAAAAGAGGGATTTTCCAAATATTTTTTGAAATGGTTTTTTATTACGGGTTGATCCAAAGAAAAATCTATCTATGTCTAATATAAAATTGTTTATCTATTTATTTGTAACAAATTTATTAATAACATGAAGTTCATCCTTAAAATAATCCTTATCCTTAAAAATAAGTATTTTTTTTTATTAATCCTTTAAAACCTGAATATTTAAATGATAACCTATTATTGCTAATTACTCTTATGTCTCAAAAAAAAGCATATTTTAAATTATAATTTTTATTTAAGCTACTACTCTGGTTTTGTGACTGGGTTGTAAATAAAAAATTAATTTACTACTTTTTTTCTTTAAGGGTATCTAAAAGATTTTTTTATTAACTAATAATTATAGATTTTTACAATGCGAAAACAAATTTATAATTTTTGATAAAGTATAATATTCAACTTGTATACAAATAAATAACAACAACAATAGTAACACAACAATAGCAATAGTAATAATTTGTCGTATTTAATTATTTTAAAATTAAAAAATTATTATTTTACTGTGTACGAAGTATTTTTCGTTTGTTTAGAAATATTAAACAAATTTATAAATATTTTTTTTAACATTTAAGATTTAAATTTAAAATTTATACAGCATTTTTTATGTGTTATATTGAAAGGGTAGTGACACAGGTGCATAAGGTTCAATGAAGTTATTTAAGGATACACAGAGCCGCAATAAAAAACTTAACTCTTAAAAGTAAATTGAAGTAAATTTTCCAGTAAAATCCTGCAATAAATTTTGAAGAGAAATTTTTGCTTAAAATAGCGAGCAAGGAAGGACCAAAAAATTTTAAATTGTTTTTTCATATATGGAAGTCAGTAAGGGAAGTTATAGTATGTATATATATGTATATATATATGAGTATATGTATATCGTGAAAGTAAAGTTCTCTTTAAGTGAAAATTTAGAAAAGTGAAAAAATTTATTTTTATATAAAATGAAACATTTAATTAAATGATTTTGATTTACAAATAGTATTATAATTTTTCTTCAATATATAAATTTATACGAATAATAATTAAATTGGTTTTAAATTTAAATGAGATTAAAATAAAAAATTACATTGTTAAAAATTTTATTAATTAGGTTCTAATTTTAACATAAACATACTTATTCTTATTTTTATTTAATCTTTGATAGAGTATTGAAAAAGTAAAATGAGTTTTATAACAAAAATAAATGTCTTCTGACCTGACACCTAAAGTGTATTCATGAAATTGTTACAAAAAGTTTTCGACATGAGCTGTCAATCCAATTTCTTCATAACTCTGGTACTGGCTTGTTTCATACAGTAATCGAATTTTATCAACGTTCCCATTTTTATATTGCTTTGGAAACAGACAGATGAGCTGAATTACTTTTCAGTCTTCTAGTTCTGATTTGTTTGTTTTCACTATTGATAAATTGAATTTGTTATAATTGCTGAATGGACCATAAAATTCTATTGAAGTATATTCTAACAAGAAATCAATTACGATAAATATTTCATATTTGGCAGTTATTACTATATGGTCAGCCGATTATATGGTAATTACTGATTAATTCACATAGCAATTATTGCAATAAGGAATTGTATATTTTATGTTCTACTAACACATATTG